AGTGGTTTGCCCAAGTGCACATGACTAAGTGACAGAACTGGAATTTGGATCTAGACACTACAACCCCAGGGATTGTCCTCTTAACCATTATTTTATTCTATTATGAAGTTGACTAGAGTCTTAAAAGCAAGAAGAAAGAAAGAACCTTACACACTGTATGTTTTTAGTCTTTAAAAATATACAATACTGTTTATTCCATTTACTTCAGGTTTTGGTCTGATGTTGGAGAAATCCCAATATCTGTAGCTCCCAAAGCCTTACTGGATGGAAATATGGAATAAAAGGGATTCTAGCATGATCACATCCTATCGGGGGATAAATTCTCCCTCTCTTTCTCACACACTTTCTCTCTCGTGAGCACATTTGCCCTCTGACAAATTAGGGAGGAATAAAAGGAAGGAATACAGAGAAAGATTCATCAATATCATAATTCTGAGAAGTAAGGAACTCCTAAAAAAAAAAAAAAGGAATTTTACTGTGATCCAGCCCTGTAGCCTAGTAGTTAAGCCCCATACATAGGAAACCAGATTCCACATGGCCAAACTGGGTTCAAGTCCTGGCCCCAGCAGCTGGAAAAAACTCTGCTGCGCACATGTGTGTATGTACCCAAAATAGAATGGAGGAAAAATGTTCTTACTTTAGGCAAGAATAAGCATTTGCCAACAATTTTCAGAGTTCCTCAAAGTTGCCCTTTATATGTAGTAGTAGATACTTACTTTACCAAAATAGCCATTTGCTTCTACCATGTTGCCATGGAATCAGGTCACTGCACCCTATTCAGATTGGTTTGTAGATAGCCAACATGGTGTTTTGTAAATGCGTAATTCTATTTGTATATTTATTGTGAACTATGACATATGCTGAGGATAAAGACCCAAAAGTCTATTCCACTTACTCTTGACTTCACTTATTCAGGAACTTTTATTTATTTTATTTTATTTTTATTTTTATTTTTTTGGAGAGATTTTTTGCTATAGGGCGTATGCACTTGCCAGACAGACAGACAGAGACAGAGAGACAGAAAGCAAGAAATCACCCCCCAGGGGGGATAGCCACACCGCAATCCCTTCTCCTCCATTCTCCTCTCGGGATCTTGGGCACGCACGCACACGTGCCCGGTGTGAGTTTAAGCTACCAGGTCCAGGACGCGAACCACGGTCGACTACATGGGAGTCCAGTGACATAGCCATTAGGCTAACTGCTGGTCCCCCATTCAGGAACTTTTATTACTTTAGAGCTTATGTGTTAAAAGCATTATTCAGTGCCTAATATGTCCATATCTACATTTTTAAAAATTATTTTATTTATTCATTATTTATTTTCATTTGGCCAGAGGGAGACATCGAGATATAGATAGAGAGAGAAAGAAAGCAAGCCACCAGGTCCAGGACTTGAACCATGGTTGACCATGTGGGAGTGTCCAGTGCCTTAACCACCATGCCACCTGCTGGTCCTTGTCCATATCTACTTTTACTCCCCACTCCTGTCACCTAACAGATCATCAGTCAGATCAGATCATGGTACAATACTTTGGCTTCTTTATTTCTTATGTTAAAAGTCATTGGTTCATCTCTACATCTGGAACATATTTTTTGTCTGTAAAATGTTTTACATTCTTTTATTTGCAGCTCTTTGCTCAGTGCAGTAGGGAAAACTAGAGTGTAGATGCAGATGCATCTAGTTAATGTGTCTACTGGCTCCATGTGAGAAACAGTGAGGGATTAAGTTTGAGCCAGAAGAGGAGTTCTTGTCTTCCTAAGTATATTCCAGAAAATATTAGAGACTTCTACCAGGTAAACTCAGGAAACCTGGCCTTATTTTCTTGGAACAAAAAACATGACATGGAGAGAGATGATGCCCTTTAAGCCAGCTTGATCTATATGCAGAACAGAACTGTAACATGTAAAGAAAGGCAGATGACAAAAATTATTCATTCGTGGCAGTCAGTGAGGACTTCCTCTTCCTGTGATTTCTATTTTGCCTCTGTCTCCAGGACTTACTGTTTGCATTTGGTAGAAGTGTTAGGCATTGGGAATAAAAGATGAATAAAATGCTATTTCCCCTTTGAGGAACCTCCAAAGAAACATCTTTTCAGAATACAACTATGTAAACAAATTATGTAAGTATATTAATGAGTAATATAATAGAGCTACGTTTGGATGCTATAGGACCCCAGAGGTGGAGAAGATCTTAATTGCCTGTGGAGAATAGGGACAACATTTTGGAGAAGGTATACGCAAATCACTTATTAAAAATGGGAATTGATGGGACCAGTAGGTGGTGTGGTGGCTGGTTTACTGGACTCCCACATGGCCAACTATGGTTTGAGTTCCGGACCTGGCAGTTGGAGAATCACACCAGGTACGTGTGTGTGCCCCAAATCCTGAGAGGAGAATGGAGATGATGGGATTGCAGCGTGGCATTCCCCCGGGGTATGATTTCTCGCATTTCCTTTGTCACTGGCAAGTGCATGTGCCCTATGACAAAAAAAAGCAAAACCAAAAAAAACTTTGAAAATAAATTTTAAAATAGAGGGACCAGCAGATGGCATAATGGTTGTGTCACTGGACTTCCACATAGTTGACAAGCAGTTTGAGTCCTGGACCTGGTGGCTTAAAACTCACACCAGGTGCGTGTGCATGTGTGCCTCAAATCCTGAAAAAGAATGAAGAAGAGATTGCATTGTGGCCACCACCACCACCACCACCCCCCCCCCCCCCCCCCCCCCCCCCCGGGGATGATTTCTTGCTTTCTGCCACTCTGTCTCTACAAGTGAGTACACATGCCCTATAGCAAAGATCTCTCAAAAAACAATTTTTTTAAAATAGGAATTGACACGGAACGGAATGAAATTTTAGAATATATGAAGGGACAAAGCATGAAAAAAGCATATCTTGTTTGGGGGGGGGCTACACATTCTTTAGATTAGCTAGAGCATATGTAATACATTAGAGAATGGCAGAACATGAGGCTAAAAAGAATTTTTTTTTTTTGAGAGGTATTTGCTATAGGGCACGTGCACTCACCAGAAAGACAAAGAGACAGAAAGCAAGAAATCACCTCCCCCCCAATGGGGTTAGCCACACCGTAGTCCCTTCTCCCCATTCTCTCGGGATCTTGGGTATGGACAGACAGCGCCTGGTGTGAGTTTAAGCCACCATGTCCGGGACTCAAACTGCGGTCGACTATGTGGGAGTCCAACGATATAACCATTATGCCAACTGCTGTTGCCCCCCCCCCTTTTTTTTTGAGGCTAAAAAGAATTTGTATACCTTGAGTTTGGGATTTGTTCTGTAGGTTATGGTGAATCACTGCAGGATTTTTATTAGGGGAGGAATATGGGATAGATGGTTTTGAAGGATAATTTTATGTTATTAAGTAATTTATAATGTATCAGATCAAATGTCTAATGTAAATTACTAATGATAATGGGCAAAGTGTGGTATGTCTGCATAATAGAAAGTTATACAGACATATTTTTGAAATATATAAGGAAAATTTTTATGACACAATGTTAAATGAAAATGCTGGGTATAAGTCCTAAATATATGGAGGAATATGCCATATTTATAGATGGAAAAACTCAACTACATGGAGTTTACTTTTTTTTTAAACTATTTTATAGATTAAATGCAGTTCTTATTTTAAGAAGCTCATCACCTTTTTTTTTTTCTTTTTTGAGAGAAAAATTTTACTATAGGGCTCATGGACTTACCAGAGGGACAGAGGAGACAGGGAGAAATCACCCTCCTCAGGGGTGATGGTCACGCAAGAAATCACTCATTGGGAGGGTGGTCATGCCACAATACCTGTTTCTCTTTCTCCTCCTGAGACCTTGGATACACATACACACGTGCCCAGCTTGAGTTTTTAGCCACCAGGTCTAGGACTCAAACCACAGTCAACTGCATGGGAGTCCAGCAACATAACCATTATGCCCATTATGCCATCTGCTGGTTGTGGAAACCACTGTTTTTTTTGTTTTGTTTTTGAGAGGTTTTTGCTATGGGGTGTGTACGCTTGCCAGACAGACAGAGACAGAGAGACAGAAAGCGAGAAATCACCCCCCAGGGGGATGGCCATGCCACAGTCCCCTCTCCTCCATTCTCCTCTCGGGATCTTGGGCACGTACACACACACGCCCGGCGTGAGTTTTAAGCCACTGGGTCTGGGACGCGAACCGTGATCGACTACATGGGAGTCCAGCGACATAGCCATTATGCTAACTGCTAGTCCAGTTTTTTTTTGTGTTTGTTTGTTTGTTTGTTTGTTTGTTTAATAGATGTTTTTGCTACAGGGTACATGCGCTCACCAGAAAGTCAGAGAGAGAGAAAGCGAGAAATCACCCCCCCACACACACACACACACACACCGCTGCCCCAGGAATAGCCATGCTGCAATCCCTTCTCCTCCATACTCCTCTCTGGATCTTGGGCACGCACGCACATGTGCCCCACATGAGTTTAAGCTACCGGGTCCGGGACTCAAACCTCAGTCAACTATGTGGGAGTCCAGCAACATAACCATTATGCCATCTGCTGGTCCCCATGGGAACCACTGCTTTTAATAATTGTTAATAGGAAGCATAGTATTGAATAAGCTAAGTGTGTAACAAGACAGTACTTTTTCCATTGCCAAATTTTGATGTTCAGATATTCATTAAAAAATTTCCATTACTGTAGTTTTGTTTTGTTTACTTTTTAGGTTTTTGCCAGAGGGCACATGTGTTCTCCAGAGAGCAACAGAGAGGGACAGTAGAAAAGTGAGAAATCAGTCCCCTGCCTCGCCTCCCAGGCAATCACCACACTGCAGTCCCTTCTCCTCTTAGAATTTTGGGCACACATGAAAACACTAGGTCTGGACCTCAAACCACAGTTGGCCTCGTGGAAGTCCAGTGCATTAACCACCATGCCACCTGCTGGCCCCACTTATTTTTATTTTTAATTTATTTACTGATCAAACAAACATTTCTGTGTCCTTTTTGCTCTTGATTTTCTCAGATTGTGCCACCAGGATTTATCCAAAGAAAGAGATGGCTGAAACTGGTGGAAAAGAACAAACAAAATGGACAACGACTGTTATTATGAGCTCATCTCTTAAGGTAAAGGGCCATTCAGGTCATTGGTCTTTATTTAAAAATTAAGAGCAGTTTTCACAAAAAAGAGTATTTTAAAAGATCTTTAGTTTGGTTTATATTGAGTGGGGTCATACTGTCTTTCATAGTCTGGCTTGGTTTGCTTAGCAGTAAATATTCCATGTTTGTTCACTTTCTATCAGATGCCAGGATCTTGTTGGGTTTTGTTTTGTTTTGGACTGAGTAGTATTCTGTAGTGTAATATGTTCCACACTTTTTCAATCCATTCATCTGTTCATGGACATTTGAGTTGGTTCCATGTCTTTTTATTATTTTTTTAACTAATTATTTAATTAATTTAATTTGACCAGAGTGGTGTGGGAGGATTGAAAAAGCAAGCTGCCAAATCTGGGACTCGAACTGTAGTCAGCTGTGTGGGAGTTCAGCACCTCAACCACCATGCTACCTTCTGGCTCCTGTTCCATGTCTTAGCAGTTGTGAATAATACTGCAGTAAACATGGATGTGCAAATTTTTTTCCAACTGAGCATCTTGCTATCCTTTGGGTAGATACGCAGGAGTGGAATTGCTGGATCATGTGGTAGTTCTGTTGGTTGGTCTTTGAGTAATGTCTATATTCTCCATGGTGGCTATGTAACTTACATTCCCACCCACAGTATAGGAGAGTTCCCTTTTCACCAGAGCCTTGTTGGTACTTAATCAGTCTTTATTTTTTAATCTTAGCTATTCTGACTGGGGTTAGGTGGTTTCTCACTGTAGTTTTGATTTGTATCTCCTTTACGATAAGAGATGTTCAGCATTTTTTCATAGGCTTTTTGGCTGTTCTTATGTTTCCCTTAGAGAGTTGTCTGTTCGACTCATTTGACTCATTTGCTTCATCTTTTAATTGGGTTGGGGTTTTTTTTTTGGGGGGGGGGTTGGTAAGCTGTTTGAGTTCCCTGTATATCCTGGTTATCAGAGGCATAGTTTGCAAATGTATTCGCAGGGTTCTTGATTCACTCTAATTATTGTTTCTTTTGCTAGGCAGAAACTTTTTAATCTGATGTAATCCCACTATTTTGGGGATTATTGCTTTGTGGCTCTAGTTCAAAAAGTCTTTGGCTATTCCTGTGTCTCTAAGAGTTTTCCCTTTATTTTCTACCAGTAGTTTTGTAGTTTGAGGGCTTAGATTTGGACCACTCAATATATACTGAATGTCGGTACTCTGACAGAAACTGAATGACTAGAAGATATAAAAGCATGGAGAGCAATAATGATACTGGAGCCATTTGGGGAGGAGGGTAGAAAATGGCGGAGGGTGAGAGGAAGGGAATCAGGGGAAGAAGAAAGAAGCAAAACATTTAAGGGACCCAAAATTGAAAGATATTTGTTGATTATAATGTATATGGTAATAATGTCTTTGACTGGACCAGTATACAGTGTATTCATGATGGGAAAATTCATTTGGTATGCTGTAATGATACAGTGATTGAGGGCAAAACATAAAAAATGAAAAAAATATCCTTTGTTCAGTTATCCATGATTAGTGGTGGGGGACAGGAAATACATAAATTATTATTTTACATGCCAGAGGGTGTGTGCACATGTCAGAGAGAAAGAGAGAGAGAGGTGAAGCACACCCCCCCCCGCCCCATGGGGCCTGGTCATGCCACAGTCCCCTTGCCTCCATTCTGTCAGGACCCTGGATTTTCAAGCTGCTAAAGCTGGGATTTAACAACTGCCCTACAGGACCATCCTTAAGTGTATCTTGAAGATAAATTACAAACTTTTTGCATCCACTTACAACATTCTAATTTCTGAAATCTTTGAAGGTTGCAAATTTTCTTTTCTTTTTTCTTTCTTTTTTTTTTTTTTTTTTTTTTTTCTATAAGTCGGATGCGCTCACCAGAAAGAGAGAGACAGAGAGACAGAAAGCAAGAAATCGCCCCCCCTGGGGAGATGGCCACGCCACAATCCCTTCTCCTCCTTTCCACTCTTGGGATCTTGGGCATGCACACACACACACGCCCAGTGTGAGTTTAAGCCACCGGGTCTGGGACTCGAACTGTGGTCAACTACATGGGAGTCCAGCGACATAGCGATTACGCTAACAGCTGATCCCTCAAGGTTGCAGATTTTCTAAAGTTTTATTCTTTTTTCTAAGCTTGCTTTGTTAAAAGTGTTAAGAGATTCCAGAAAGATAAAGCATACACACACACATACACACACACACATTTCGTTTTTATGTTTTTTGAGAGATAACTAGAAATTGATCTGCTTAGCCTTGATTTATTATTTCTGATGCTTCTTGTTCATGTAATCTGAATTTTTTGTATGTCTAGTTATATTTAAATGTGTTTTATGGTTTGTTTTTTAAAAATTGTAGAAATAATTTGAGACCTAGCATAGTGTTATAGTCTTCTAAAGAAATCTTAATTCTGTAAGAAAATTAAATCCTTTGGGACAGGACAGTGGCACAGCAGTAAAGCATGACACTCTGCAGAGCTGATGCACTTAGGAGAGTTCCAGGTTCATGTTTGGAGGCCTCTCTGAGTATGTTAGGCATGTGCATGCCATGCTCTAGAGCTGGCTTGGATGGGGGATACATTGTAGCATTGACACTTTACTGGGGGTACTGTCTGTCTGTCTCTCATGAAAGAAAAATACATTTTTAAAAGATGAATAAATAAAAAGAAAATTAAACTCTTTAATTCTCTGAATAGGGTTATCAGATAATATACAGGACACTCAGTTTTATTTGGTAAATTTCAGATAAACAATGAATTTACTCTAAATATGTCCCAGATATTGTATGTGACATATTTATATTAAAAATTTCATCATTTAGATGTAATTCAATTTTTTTCTTTTTTTAAAGAATTATTTTATTTAACTTTATTTATTTTAATTTGATCAGAGAGAGATAGAGTGAGAAAGTGAGAGGGAAAGTGAGAAAGCAAGCTGCCAGGTCTAGGATTTGAACTGCAGTTTTCTATGTGGGAGTCCATTGCCCTCAGCCACAGCGCCACCTGCCAGCCCTGTATGTAATTCAGATTTAACTGAGTGTTCTGGATGTTTGTGTGCTAATTCTGTCTACCTAAGTACTAAGACAGCTACTGCATATAATTAATTAATTTTCTGTGCACCTAGAACTGTACTCTTTATGAGAGAATTAAGAAAATAGTTACTCAAATGATTTTCTTTGGCCTATAACTCAGATGAAGATACCTGACTGAGAAAGATTGCTCAAGGGATTGCTTCTCCAAGGTGCTTGTGCATGCTAGTAATTCAGTATCACTTTAATACAATTTCAGGGGTTGGAATGGTTTGAAGCTGAGCTGCAGTCCCTGTGAGAGCTGTTCTACTTTCATCCAAAGCTTTGTTCAGCCTCTCCTCTGCCTCTTCCTGAATTGGCAGATGCCTTCAGGGAAAAAAATGGCCTAAATGTTGGCTCATATCTTTGAATTTCTGTATAGATCTTGGCCTTATCATTTTTCACACACTTGCTAGTTCAAGCATTCAAATAGCTCTTAAAAGGTTGTCCAGCTTTTCTACTGTAGTTGCTGTCAGCAAGAGGGGTGACCTAAATTACTTAATCTGACATTGCTAGAAGCAGTTTATAATTTTAAAACAGCAGAAGATAAGAGCTTTAGTTGAACTCCACCTCAGATCTGTGTGAGTGGCACAAAATATTCTCCTTAGGAAGGAAAGGAATCATATATTTTATACATAATTTCAGCCTATACACTAAATATACATGTTCTAGGGAAAAGTATAAATTAACTTACCTCAGAATTTTTATTTATCTGGAAACCAAGAAGCTTGAGTTTTGATTAATTAGGAAACACTATTAAACGCTTAGATTTTAGTATCTTGGGTAATATGACCTAATTGCTTGGGTATAATAGGAAATGAGGTGATTTTTGAAGTAACAGTTACTTAAGTAACTGTTATGTAAACTGATGACTTAGAGAACTGATTGTTTCCTGTATGGTGTCCTGTATGTCTGGCACTATGTGGTTCTGTCACCCATCTAAGAAACACAATACCACCCATCTTCCACAGTTATACACTGATGCAAGTCAGAGTGCATCTGCAAGATTTTTAAAATATCTTTTATTAAAAGTCATTTATTGGGACCAGCAGTTAGCGTAATGGCTGTGTCGCTGGACTCCCACGTAGTCGACCACAGCTCGTGTCCCGGACCCAGTGGCTTAAAACTCAGGCCGGGCGCGTGTGCGTGCATGCCCAAGATCCCAAGAGGAGAATGGAGGAAAAGGGATTGCGGCGTGGCCATCCCCCCTGGGGGGGGCGTGATTTCTCGCTTTCTGTCTCTCTGTCTCTCTCTGTCTGTCTGGTGAGCGCACGTGCCCTATAGCAAAAACCTCTCCAAAAAAAAAAAAAAAAGTCTTTTATTTATGCCATGAGCGAGAGAAACAGAACTACAGTACCCCCAACAGGATCCTGATGCTGTAATTCTACCCCTAGCCAGACCTGGATCATGGGCAAAGGCATCCACAGCCTACTCAGGTCTCCATATGTGAACCCAGAATCTTCCCATGTGGCTCACCCTCACAGAGTATCACATTATGCCACTGCACCACCATTCAGCCCCAAAGGTTTGCTTTATTTATTTATTTATTTATTTTTTTTAAGAATTACTTATTTGGGACTGGCAGTTGGTATAATGGCTATGTCACTGAACTCCCATGAAATCGACTGCGGTTCGAGTCCTGGATCTGGTTGCTTAAACTCAATGCAGAGTGCGTGTACTTGGGTGCCCAAGATCCCAAGAGGAGAATGGAGGAGAAGGGATTACAGTGTGGCCATTTCCCCAGGGGATGATTTCTTTCTTTCTGTCTTTCTTGCAAGTGCACATGCCCTATAGCAAAAACCTCTCCAAAAAAAATAGAAGAATAGTTTATTTTATTTATCATTGTTAGGTCATTCGGAAAGTCATGATGCACTTTTGCATAGAAAAGTACCTTTTCCTACAGGGCTCGTGCATGAAAGAGGGGGAGAGAGAGAGAGAGAGAGAGAGAGAGAGAAAGTCACCAGGTCCAGGACTTGAACTACAGTCGGCCATGTGGGACTGCAGCCTATAGAGTTCAGCACCTCAACCCCCATGCCACCTGCTGGCCCCAAGTTTATTTTAAAAAGAAAAAAAAAAAAAGTTCATTTCTTTTAAAGAGACAGAGAAAGACCTCCCATGAGGGTCTTTATGCCACAGTTCACCTACAACTTCAGCTGGACTGGCTCTTGGGCACATGTGTGTCCCAGCTGTGCAGGTTGGTGCTGGCAAGTGAACCTGAAACCATTCCATGCAGGTCCAGCTGTGTTACCATTGTGGAGCACTGTCTGGCTCTTCTAAGTTCTTTTTTTTTTAGAACGGAGACTTGCCATGTCAATCTTCTTGTTCCAGCCTCCCAGCTGGAACTACAGTTAGGCACCACTAATCCTGGCTTTTATTATTATTTTTTTAAGACAGAATCTTGCTGTTTTGCCCAAGTCATTCTCAAGCTTGCGATACTCCTGCTTCAGTAAACCAGTCTTAAGCTTGAGATCATCCTGCTTCAGCCTCTCAGTTCTCTGGAATTACAGGTGCAGGCCACCACACTGGCCTTTAGATTAGACCAGGAATTGAGGCTGGGTCTCCCACATGTTTTCAGCCTGTTAAGTCCAGGGTCTTAGCAGTGCACGCCACGATTAGACCTTCAAGTTTGGTGTTATTAAAAAAAAAAAGTTGGGAACCAGCAGTTAGCGTAATGGCTATGTCGCTGGACTCCCACATAGTCGACCGCGGTTCGTGTCCTGGACCCGGTGGCTTAAAACTCACGCCGGGCGCGTGTGCGTGCGTTCCCAAGATCCCGAGAGGAGAATGGAGGAGAAGGGATTGCGGCGTGACCATCCCCCCTGGGGGGTGATTTCTCGCTTTCTGTCTCTATGTCTCTCTCTCTGTCTGTCTGGCGAGCGCACGCGCCCTACAGTGAAAATCTCTCCCCCCCAAAAAAAAAAAAAAAAGTTTACATTTTGCTTTGTTTCTTGTGTTTTAGTGTTTTAATACTGTCCTTGCTTCTGTCCATAAGTAACATAACTGTGGTATACAATTAATTTCCAAACTTTTGGTGTTTCTTTAGAACTAAATATTTTGTTTTTCTTTTTTTTTTAAGTTCTTAAAATATTTTTTCTCCATAGAGAGATTTAATTTTCCCCTTTAAATTTTCAAATATTTAAATTTTACAGTTATAAAATAAGTTACTAAACTTCTTTTAATTTTTTTCATTAGCTTTACTAAAATAATATTGTAAACATATCTTAAGCTTGTGTTTTTTGGATTTTTTTTTAAGAGTTGTGAAATTGCGACTGCCCTAGAAAATCAAAGCCACAAGATTCGGTATTCAGATTCAGTGGAAAATGGAGCAATTATATTTTCTCTTTCTGGTATGGTATATTGCTAACTATCTTGACTTAAGTTTCTTGTAAAATATCTGGGTATGAATTAATAATTTTTATTCACTAACTATGTAATACATTTTTAAGATGTTAACTTTTGGGTGAGGCAAATGTGTCTAACTTTGTTACTTCTATAAAAAGCAGTGCATATAGCCAATTACAAAATATATTCCTTCTTAGATAACAATTGTTCAAATAAAGCCAAACCAGTGGAGTTTGGTAGAGGATAGGAAAAAACCTTTGTGCATTGGAACCAAGATGAAAACAGAAAAAGACACATTCCCAACAATTAATACTTTATATTACCCATACTTTAGACAGAAGCCAACATCACTACATTGGACAAAATTCATATTAATTAAAAAAAATGTTTTTCTGCCCCTGCCCAATGAAGCAGGGGGTGAACCCCAAGTGGGAGTGGCAGTAGATTTAGAAGGACAGATGGACACACAAGTAGAGAAAAGCAGGGATCGGGTGGTCCTGGCATCTCTGATGAAGAAGGCCGTGGCACTGAGTTCTCAGGTGTATTCTTTTACACAGCAAAGTCAGGTATTTTCTATTATTGATTGCAGCTGTGGAGTTTCTTTTGTCTCACGGTTCTGAACAAGCCTCTCCTGACCTTCTCTGGCTGGCACATAGCTTCCTCCAATCCATACTGCCCTGTAGTGCAGATGATGTCTTCATGTCTTTATTAGAGCTTTTGCTTGCCCTGTAGCATCAGCACCAAGACCGTATGTGCTTTAAAGGTCCCTAGTTTTTACCTAGGTGTAGCCACTCCCTACATTTTTTCATCATTTTGTTATACCAAATAGTTTGCTGAATATGATATAAACAAATATTAACTTTAAAAAACACATGGTGACAAATAGATGGTATAAAATCATTAAACTGTACAACTGTGGAGTCATGAGCAAAGTTTGAGAAGGAATTAGAATAGGATAAATAAAAACTTAGGATGGGAAAAGGTTGACTCCTTCCGTTGTGCTTGAATGGTAGAAATGATAAAAGATATAGAGGTAAAGAATTTTATCAGGAGAGTTAAAAAATAGATCTCTATTCTAGCAAAGATTGTAGAAGACAAGTGCTTTCAAAAGCTCCTAAAATAGACTTCAGGCTGAAAGTGGTCCCACCTCAAACTTACTCTTCTGATTGAATATTGTGCCCTTTCCAAGGAGAAGTAAAATATTTTTGGTGAATATTGTTGGGTCATCGGAAAAATCATGACACATTTTTGCACAGAAAAACATGTCATGATTTTCTCAGTGACCTAATATAATGCTATGTGCCTTAGCCACTTAATATTTATTATTTAATTATTTTGATAGACCTAACAATTTTATTCCCATGTTACAGATAAGGAAACTTATGTTCCGAGAGGCTATATAATTTAACTGGTTTCAGTTCGGTCAATTAGTGTATAATCACGTAGTCACTTTTCTTAGATTATGTCTTTTCTGCCTATTTGTTTGTTTGTTTCTTTTTTTTTTTGCTATAGGATGTATGCGCTCGCAGGAGACAGAGTCAGGTGTGGGGAGCAGCAGGTGGCATGGTGGTTAAGGCACTGGACCTCCCACACTAGTCCCAGACCCTGCAATTTGAAAATCATGCCAGACACATGTGCCTGGGTGGCCAAAATACTGAGAGAAGGAATTGCAGTGTGGCCATCCCCACTGGGGAGTGATTTCTCACTTTTCTTCTCTCTGTATCTTTATGTCTCTCTCCTCTTTGGCAAGTGTACAAACCCCATGACAAAAACCTAAAAAAAACAAAAACAAGAAAGAGAAAATGAGAAAACCTCCCCCTCCCCCAAGTGTAGATGGCCAGCCATACTGCAATCTTTTCTCCTCTAGGGGTTTTGGGCCTGTTTGCACACACACCTAGCATGGTTTTCAAGCTGCAGGGTCTGAGACTCAAATAGTGCAGTCAGCCATGTGGGATCCAGCCAGCATAACCTCTATGCCATCCTCTAGCCTATCTTTTCCACATCTTTTGAAGAGCTACAATTAAATCAGGTTTCTCTTAGGAACATTCTATGGGTCTGACACTGTTTCAAAGATCCTATATATCTCTTAGTGTATTGATTTATGTAATTCTTTATGTCCTGGTAGATTTCACTAACAAAGTAATTGAAGGCCTCCTTAAGACTACCATTCTTTAGCTGATTTCTACCTTTTAAAAATGATTATAGGTGTTTCTAGGTTGTTGAACACATGGAAGTGCCTGGAGGGTGGCAGCCCAGCGAGGGCCTTGAAGCCCCTTACCCTTACTCTGATACCTTACCCTGTGCATTTCTTCCATGTGGCTGCTCCTCTGTATCCCTTATAATACCCTTTATAAGTCAGTAAACATTTTGTTTATAAGCCAGAGAACACATTGTTCATAAGCCTGAGGGAGAGCAAGAGCGAGAGGGAGAAAGCACCCCTTAGTGTGTGTGGTCACATGGCAAACCTTTCTCCATTTCTCCATTCCATTGGGATTTGGGGTACATACATGCACACATGTAGGGTGTGTTTTTCAAGCCACAAGGTCTAGGACTCAAACTGTGTGGTTGGTGATGTGGGATCCTGCTCGCTTAACCACTAGCCCATGGGACTGGCCCAAACCAGTAAACGTTTAAAGAAATCATTATAACATGAAAAATTAACTTCTAAAACAAACCACCCATAAAAATTAGGCAGTATCTTCAAGTGGACAGTACCTTAGTTTGGAAAAAGTATCAAGTTACTGACCAAAGAAGTTTTCCTGTAAATATTTAAAACAAAACTATTACACAGAATACTTGGAAGAAACTACCTAAGTCAGTTGGTTTTGTAAGAATTCTGTTTAATAATTTCTACTCTGTCGCTTCAGTGACGACGCTGACAAGGTCTTCTCCAGAACTCTTTATTACCCCAGGCTTCTTACAGTCTTCTTCTTCTTCCTTTTCTTCCCCAGCCCACCCGGGCTCCCTATATATCCGTCCCGCAAACCAGTCCTCTTTTGCCACCAGGCAAGCACTGATAGGCTGAGGCAGTGCCTACGCGTTCCGGAACAGGAACAATAACCAAATATGGGCTTGTTTATGTAGAGGTCTGGGTGCTCTCGGCGCCATGTTAGGGCGGGGGCGCTCCACACTACTCCTGATGAGTTTAGGGCTTGGGCGCTTTATAAATATTTTTGTTGAGTTTACAACAAAATTTGACTTATATGACTTTTGTATTACATCTTTCCTAGGTGTTGCATTTTTATTGATGGATACTAAAGAATGTCTGATGTCAGCTGAAGAAGCAGTCTTAGCCAGAATTGAAAAGTTTATTAATATTCACCAAAAACAGTTTTTTTTTTTTGCTATAGGATGTATGCGCTCGCAGGAGACAGAGTCAGGTGTGGGGAGCAGCAGGTGGCATGGTGGTTAAGGCACTGGACCTCCCACACTAGTCCCAGACCCTGCAATTTGAAAATCATGCCAGACACATGTGCCTGGGTGGCCAAAATACTGAGAGAAGGAATTGCAGTGTGGCCATCCCCACTGGGGAGTGATTTCTCACTTTTCTTCTCTCTGTATCTTTATGTCTCTCTCCTCTTTGGCAAGTGTACAAACCCCATGACAAAAACCTAAAAAAAACAAAAACAAGAAAGAGAAAATGAGAAAACCTCCCCCTCCCCCAAGTGTAGATGGCCAGCCATACTGCAATCTTTTCTCCTCTAGGGGTTTTGGGCCTGTTTGCACACACACCTAGCATGGTTTTCAAGCTGCAGGGTCTGAGACTCAAATAGTGCAGTCAGCCATGTGGGATCCAGCCAGCATAACCTCTATGCCATCCTCTAGCCTATCTTTTCCGCATCTTTTGAAGAGCTACAATTAAATCAGGTTTCTCTTAGGAACATTCTATGGGTCTGACACTGTTTCAAAGATCCTATATATCTCTTAGTGTATTGATTTATGTAATTCTTTATGTCCTGGTAGATTTCACTAACAAAGTAATTGAAGGCCTCCTTAAGACTACCATTCTTTAGCTGATTTCTACCTTTTAAAAATGATTATAGGTGTTTCTAGGTTGTTGAACACATGGAAGTGCCTGGAGGGTGGCAGCCCAGCGAGGGCCTTGAAGCCCCTTACCCTTACTCTGATACCTTACCCTGTGCATTTCTTCCATGTGGCTGCTCCTCTGTATCCCTTATAATACCCTTTATAAGTCAGTAAACATTTTGTTTATAAGCCAGAGAACACATTGTTCATAAGCCTGAGGGAGAGCAAGAGCGAGAGGGAGAAAGCACCCCTTAGTGTGTGTGGTCACATGGCAAACCTTTCTCCATTTCTCCATTCCATTGGGATTTGGGGTACATACATGCACACATGTAGGGTGTGTTTTTCAAGCCACAAGGTCTAGGACTCAAACTGTGTGGTTGGTGATGTGGGATCCTGCTCGCTTAACCACTAGCCCATGGGACTGGCCCAAACCAGTAAACGTTTAAAGAAATCATTATAACATGAAAAATTAACTTCTAAAACAAACCACCCATAAAAATTAGGCAGTATCTTCAAGTGGACAGTACCTTAGTTTGGAAAAAGTATCAAGTTACTGACCAAAGAAGTTTTCCTGTAAATATTTAAAACAAAACTATTACACAGAATACTTGGAAGAAACTACCTAAGTCAGTTGGTTTTGTAAGAATTCTGTTTAATAATTTCTACTCTGTCGCTTCAGTGACGACGCTGACAAGGTCTTCTCCAGAACTCTTTATTACCCCAGGCTGAGTACAGTCTTCTTCTTCTTCCTTTTCTTCCCCAGCCCACCCGGGCTCCCTATATATCCGTCCCGCAAACCAGTCCTCTTTTGCCACCAGGCAAGCACTGATAGGCTGAGGCAGTGCCTACGCGTTCCGGAACAGGAACAATAACCAAATATGGGCTTGTTTATGTAGAGGTCTGGGTGCTCTCGGCGCCATGTTAGGGCGGGGGCGCTCCACACTACTCCTGATGAGTTTAGGGCTTGGGCGCTTTATAAATATTTTTGTTGAGTTTACAACAAAATTTGACTTATATGACTTTTGTATTACATCTTTCCTAGGTGTTGCATTTTTATTGATGGATACTAAAGAATGTCTGATGTCAGCTGAAGAAGCAGTCTTAGCCAGAATTGAAAAGTTTATTAATATTCACCAAAACAGTTTTTTGATTCTGTCTGCTGCCCTCCATGGGCTTGAAGAATGGAAACTAATGTTCAGGATTCAGCAGAGGTATGGCAGAATAGCACTATAGACTTACTTTTCTTACATTGTTATTAAATATTTCAGTTCCTAATCCTTGGGTGGGCAAGTTTGTTTTGCTAGAAGATAAACTTCATAATGTTATTCTGTCATATTTTATGAAACACAGGCCAAATAGCTGTTCTGTGAATTGGGATAACAGTTGTGATAACAAGTTTCAGAGTACATGCTCATTTATGGGCTCCTGCAAGACAAAACCAAAAATGAACACTTTTTAGTCAGTTAATGGTGGCTATAAAGCCACCTCATATCCAAGGAATAAGACAGGGCATGAATGAATAACAAACAGTAGAAGTCTGTCTCTTCCTGCCACCTATATAAGAAGAAAAGCATCAGTAAGTTATATAATCTATATAACTTATGAATTCCTTTACAGATTCCTGGGTAGGAACTTACGGATAATTCCAGTACATAACACAGTAAATGCTATTAATCTGATGTGCACTGTAGCTAAGGTGAGTAAGTTGGGAAAAATGAGTTATACCTATACACATACATCTTAAAGTTTTTGGTTTTGAATTGCACTCCCTTTTGAGGAAAAATACATTGACAAATACCCGGTATCTGTTCTTAGAGAAGTTGCTGTTTCATTATACAACTAGTTATCAAGCCTAAACTCAGCTTCCCAAGTCTTGTCAATTTACTTCCAGTAACCACTAATTTATGACACATTATGGGCCAAAAGAGCATTCGTCCATATATATGTGAGGGGACTTTGAAAAGCCCATGTAAAAATGTAATAAAGTACAAGTTTAGGCACCAGCATATGGCATAATAATTACATCACTGGACTCCCACGTAGTCAACTACAGTTCGAGTCCTGGACCCGGCAGCTTAAACCTCAGGCTGGGCACACATTTATGTGTGTGTGTGCCCATGCAAGATCCAGAGAGAATGGAGGAGAAGGGATTGTAGTGTGACCATCCCCTCAGGGGGTGATTTCTCACTTTCTCTCTCTCTCTCTCTCTGTCTCTCTCTGGTGAGTACATGCACCCTATAGCAAAAATCTCTCTTAAAAAAAAAAAGTACGTTTATTTTGGTGAAAAAAAAGTCTTGAAATCCATGGGTAATTTTTTCATAATGCAAATTTTGCACATACTTTTTAAAGTCCCTCATACATTTTGGCCTTATTGACTATACTTATATCTTCTTGCAAAGTCTAAAGTATAAATATTGGCCAGATTACAGTCATGAACTATCAAGCATTCAGACATACCATTTACACATATATAAGTGTGTGTGTGTATATACACATACATATACATACATACACACACTCTTTTTTAAGATTTTTGACAGAGGAAAAAGTCAAAAAGACACTGTCAGAGGGACAGTGAGGGGCACGAGCACTTGTTGGAGACTGAAAGTGAGAAATCATTCCCTAAGGGATATGGCCGTGCTTTCGTTCCTTCTCCATTCTCCTGGGATTTGGGGCACACAGGCACACATGCCCCACATGAATTTCAAGCCATCAGGTCTGGGACTCTAACTGTGGTCAGCCATGTGGGAGTCCAGCACCTTAACCACCCACCACCTGCTGGCCCTCAAACATACTATTTTATGGAATGCTTTCCCTCAGTTATCCACTTACTTTTCATGCTCATCTTCTGTGAAGTGTACCCAGATAATCTCACCTCTCCTAAACATTTACATGTTGTCTTACACTTGGAACATATCCTCACTAAAGCAATTCTTAACAGTATTCTCTTTGGTCTGAAAGTTTGAAATTCCTTGGAGGTAGAGATCAGGTACCTTCCCATCACTCATACATAGTATTATGTAGCACATAGGTGATTAAAAGATACTTACTGAGGGCCAGACCCCATAGAACAGTGGTTAAGTACTGGTGGTTGGGAGTTGGATCCCACATGACTGACTGGTTCAAATCCTTGGTGGCTTGAAAAACATGCCATTGGGAACCAGCAGTTAGCGTAATGGCTATGTCGCTGGACTTCCACGTAGTTGACCACTGTTCAGTGTCCTGGACCCGGCGGCTTAAAACTCTCACCAGGCGTGTGTGTGTGCGTGCCCAAGATCCCAAGAGGAAAATGGAGAAGGGATTGCGGCGTGACCATCCCCCCGGGGGGTGATTTCTCGCCTTCTGTCTCTATGTCTCTGTCTGGCGAGCGCACGCGCCCTATAGCGGAAAAAAAAAAAAACAAAACTCCCCCCCAAACCCTCCCAAAAAAAAAAAAAAAAAAAAAAGAAAGAAAAACATGCCATTTATGTGTGCCTACAATCTTGACAGGAAGAAGAAATGGAGGGAAATGGATTGTGGCAACACCAGAGCCCATTTGGGGGTGAGGGGCTTTTTCTTTCTGGCAACTATATGTGCTCTCTGGCAACTAAGAGATTTGCTGAATTAAAATTTTTTATATGATCCTCTAAATATACCTTATTTCTGTAAATAATGTTGTATGTTTGTATCTTCTTCCAGACTGCTTCTAAACCATACATAGATAATATCTGCTACAGAATGGTCACAACTAAAGCTTACATCATTGAGCAAAGTCCCGTTTGGAAAACACTTCAAAAGATAAAACTGAGTGGTGACTTAATTAACTCAGATTAGCGTATCAATTATAAATGTACTTTTGGAAGAACATTAAAATAATTAGACCTGTTAAATCACAATATTCAAATAATATTTCAAGATGTTGATAACATGTATACAATTAGAAGTTTTATTTTAGGAGTTTTGTTGAGTGATTCTTTTAATAATGTGTATGTACATATATTGTAAAAGTCAGATGCCCTTATTTTTTAACAATTTTTTTAGGTTTTTGCCTTAGGGCACATGCACTCACCAGACAGACAGACCAAGGCAGTAGGAGGGAAAGTAAAAAATCAGCCCCCAAATGGTATGGCCACACTACAGTCGCTTTTCCTCCTGGGATCTGGAGCAGGCACACATACATGCCTGGCCTGAGTTTCAAGCCACCAAGTCCAGGACTTGAAAAACAGTCAGCAATGTGGGAGTCCGGTGACGTAACTATGCCATCTGCTGGCCCCTAGGTGCACTTTCTTAATGATATAAATTAAGTTGGGTGGACAAATATTTAATAGAGAATAAAAATACACAACTGTCTATTTAGCACCTTAGACTAAAGGAAAAGTCTTATGTATTTTCCAGGTTTTTCCAAAGGGCAGCCAGTATTTCTGAATTTGTTTTTGCAGCTGCTTTCACATTGTAACTTCTGCTGGAGAAGTAGTGATGGGATTCTGCTCTCATGTCTTCCTTGACCCAGGGAAAGTGATATACTAAGACAATCAACTGGCTTGAACTCAAAACATAAAAAAAAAAAAAAATCTAAAAAACTTTACACCTGTACCGTGGTATGCAGTGTGATAATTGAACCTGTCAGTAGAAATTCTAAGATGTTTCATAGCATCTAACTAGAACAGAAAGCGTATCTGTATTTTTATAAACTCACTACAACTGTATGAATAAAGACAAGTCAACTACATTTTACAAAATTATAACAAAATTACTAGTTTGTATTGTATTTTCAGAAACAGTATTCAGATTATATATATATGTACATATATATTTGATATTATATACTATGTAGATATTTAAAACCAAATACTACCACCAATCCATGTGTCATTATAGAAATTGATAATGAGAAAAGCAACATTTATTTTTCTAAGTTATTACAGTAATTTTTATAAAGATATTAAATAAATTATAATAGAAAATACAGTATTTTATTAGTTTTTATTTAGAAAGTAGAACTTTCATTTTATTCCAGTATTTTCTTCAGAGGTAGGCTTTGTTTTCATTTCAATGAGTTCTTCTACTCGAGCCAGAACACTTTCAATCAAATCAAATGTGAAAAGAGCTGAATGGAGGACCTGAAATATCAAGAAAATTATTAATTCTATTACAAAACAAAGCAAAACACAGAAAAGACTTCCACTGGATGTAGCTTAAGAAAAGTTCAGACTACCTTGAGCTGCATTTCAGGAGGCATATTAGGGATCTCTTCTCCACCTACAGTTACAGAACAACGATCTTCAGACTTTTGGACTGCTGTAAGAAAAAATATCATGTGTCACACTTAGCCATTAGAACAAGATTTCAGTCATAAATTTATAAGCTAGTTTGATCATTCACTAACTTGAAAGAATGTGTCAGTCATTTGTGTTTTATTTTCAATACAAATATGACAGTTCCAAAATGTGACAATTTTTTGAAAACAAAATTGTACTTTACAAACCTTGGCTATTTTCTTTGCTGTTTTTAATTTCTGCTTCATAATGTGCTTTTGACATATTAAGTCCTGTATGGAGAGGCTTTAAGAAATTATTTTCAATCTTTCTGAGTTCTGTCCATAATCCAGTCTGTTCAGAAGAATTAATGAAAGAAATCATTGTTTGGTTCAATGTTTATTGATCGCCTACTATTACTAAACATGACTTGAGAACTGGAGAAGCAAAAATGAATGATATATCGTCTTTAACAATACATCTATTACTATGTGACTACAAATCAAAACAAAAATGTATTTAGAGTACTTTGCTCTTACTACACCATTTGGACAGCTCCTAGTTTTGAGATCTTATCTTGCAAGTTTTATAATTAACATATGTGTCTTCATACATTTTTAAAAAATCAGTCTTTCCAGAAATTCATTCAATTTTTAGTCTTCTTTACTAATATAAGTTGGAAATTTTCCTCTAAGTACCAATATAGCTGCATCCTACAAGTTTTATTATGTAGCATTTAAATTTTCAGTTCTAACGTGTGAAACAATATTATCCTTTATCATTACACAAATGATATCTCGTAGATTTGTTCATCTTATATGGAGATTGTCCAACTTCATTATATTAAAAAATGTAGATTTCAGTGCTTTACACAATCCCCGCCCCCCCAAGTTTCTTTCATGAGAGAATAAAAGGGGAAGAGAGAGGGAGGGAGGAGGGACATTCTTGACAGCATCTCATCATGCTGTTTTACCCTTCCTGCAGCCCTCTAGCTAGTCAGGATCTTGAGGGTGCATGCTCAGCATGTTTCATATTAAAGTTTCATGTTAATATGGGATCTGAACTCTAGTGGTTGGCCATGTGGCTCTCAGCACTGTAGCGCTGCATGTTTGTTACCACCTGCGACACTGTGGCTGGGCCTAATATGAGATTTTCACTACATAGATTTGCAGCTCAACCTAGAAATTTGCATTTGCAAAAAGCCTCCAAATATCCAGATGATTCTGATTAGGAATGTAAGTTGAGAAACAATTATCTAGAATAGTGCTGTCCAGTGCCACTAAAGAATGGAATTTTTGGGGGACCATCAATTGGCATAATGGCTATGTTGCTGGACTCCCATGTAGTCGAACGCAGTTCGAGTCCTGGACCCAGTACCTTAAACTCACACTGGGCGCGTGTGCGTGCATGCCCAAGATCCTGAGAGGAGAATGGAGAAGGGATTGCGGCGTGGCCATCACCCTTGGGGGGGGAGTGATTTCTCACTTTCTAATCTCTCTGTTTCTGTCTTTCTGGCAAGTGCACACGCCCTATAGCGAAAATCTCTCCAAAAAAAAGGAATTTTTAATTTAAAAAAATTCAATTTAAATTTTAAATAGACCTGTGACTACCATCTACTATTGGGTTGTCAGAAAAGTCATTTTTCCAAATACAAAAATGTGTCATCACTTTTCCAACATCCCATTATGTTGGACAGTACAAATACAGTTCTTTTAATATTAGAACCATGGCTGTTTTCAATGGTGATAACTTAGTTTAATATATAGCCCATAATAATAAAACTTGAGGTAATAAAAACGCATGCCAAAGTTAGGCTAAAGAAAATTTATCACACAATCTGTTCAACATAAATCCACAAATCTTACATATGATGAACAACTAATATTTTTAGAAGCATGTAGGAGTGAAGAAGCTGTGAAAGTAAGAATATTTCTCTCTCACACATTAAGATTACCGGATCTTAAAGAATAAAACTACAAAGAACATCATTTGAAGATTTATTTCATCTTTAATATCCAGAAAAAGAAGTAACAAGATTTTTAAAATAGTTATAAGGATTAAATGTTAAATGTTCACAAATGTCTGCTTATAATTTTATACCCAAGTAGACTCACTGATACAGCAGTTCTGAAATCTTTTGCTTCTAACTATACATTTCAAAATTCACTGCAGCCTAACTCACTAAAGGAAGAGTAGGTAATCTTACACACCAGTGAAATTTATTGTTAGACAGTAGTGACCCCGCAAAGTCTATGGTAACAAAGAATTAAAAACAACATGAACAAAACCCAGCTTTCCCTTTTCTAATTTGTATATGTTCTCTTATTTGCCTGATTTACATGACAGGCAGAAATCTCATAGATTAGGATGACATGATTTATTAGGTATGGGGTACAGTGTAACATGTAGTAGATGGGTCTCTGCCTACAAAGGAAAGCCTCAAAGCTGTATAGTATTGTGCAGTGTCTGCTATGATATCTATTGATAATGCAGAACTTCTACCACTTGTAATATTAGGGAACTGCTATTACCTGAAGTCACTTGTTTCTGCAAATACCACATAAAGGATATGTTTTAATCTTGGATGAAAAACAGCTTAAATGGGGACCAGCAGTTAGCATAATGGCTATGTCACTGGACTCCCACGTAGTTGACCATGGTTCAAGTCCCGGATCCGGTGGCTTAAACTCACGCTGGGCATGTGCGCGTGTGTGCCCAAGATCCTGAGAGGAGAATGGAGGAGAAGGGATTGCGGCATGGCCATTCCCCCTGGGGGGGTGATTTCTTGCTTTCTGTCTCTATGTCTCTGTCTTTATGGCAAGCGCACGTACCCTATAGCAAAAACCTCTCCAAAAAAAGGAAATTAAAAAAAACAGCTTAAATGAAAAACCCAAAATATAGACTATCTAAAATTTATTTGTATGTACATATATGCAAGATAGTAATCTTTTCCTTTAAATGAAAAGCATATATTCATATACTACACTATTTAAACATTTTTTTATTTCTTCCATGAGAGAGAAAGGAAGGCACCTCTAACAGGTCCTCATACTATGATCCACCCTTCAGCCTCAGACAGCCTGGATAAAGGGGTATGTGTGTGCCCAGTGTGTGAAAAGAGGCCCTGAACCACAAATCTAGGACCTTCCCATGTGAGTCCAGCTAGGTTACTACTACACTACCATCTGGGCTCAATTTTTTAAATTCCTGATACTTAACCTGTGGCCTTTGCCTTTGTTTCCCCTGGCCCTGCTTTCATTCTACCAAATAGAATTACAAATTATTTACAAAAAAGAATTGAGTAAGTTGGTACATGAGAAAGGATATTAGTAGATAGGACAGAAGGTAAGGGGCAGTATGATTATGGACTGTACATTAGAATTTCTGTAATTCAAAACAAACTATTTAAAGATATGAAAACACTAGGTATAAAAACTGAGTTGGTAGGACCAGCAAATGGCATATTCGTGACTTCGCTGGACTTCTGCATAGTCAACCATGGTTTGAGTCCTGGACCCAGCAGCTTAAACTCACACCAGGCATGTGTGCATTGCATGTCCCAAGATCCCAAGACAAGAATGGAGAAGGAATTGCTGTGTGGCCACCCCGCCGGAGGGGGTGATTTCTCACTTTCTGTCTCTCTGTCTCTGTCTTTCCAGCCAGTGCATCCTATAACAAAAACCTCTCAAAGAACAACAACTGAGTTGGTTTTAAAAATAGAGATGGGAGCCTGGCTTATACTGGAAGATTCAAATAAAAAGTAATTTGAAACTGAAGTGTGGGAGA